TGGTACGAAAGAATACCAAGCCCCCGGTCTCTTCTGACCGCCCCGGAGGACGAGCTGCACGTCTGTTGAATGACGAACCCACTCGTATTTACGTGCCCATGTTAATGCGACCTTGGGTCATGCAAGCTTGTCATGCCAACGCCCTCTGCCACCTTGGTACCGCTCGCACGCTCAGCTTGCTTGAGAGGTTTTACTGGTGGATTGGGATGAGTATCAGTAGTCGTTGGTGGATTCGGCGATGTTTGAAATGTCAGGCCCGCAAAACTGCGCGCCAGACTATTCGCTGGCCGATTCTCACGATCCCTCTGCCTTCGGCACCAGGGGTCGCGATTAGCGTCGACTATTTTGGTCCGCTTCCCACAACTCCGCGAGGTTTCTCGTATATTTTGCTATTCACTGACCGTTTCAGTCGGAGAGCCAATATGTACGCAGTGACTGACGCCGAGTTCACAGCTGAAGGTACAGCTGACGTCCTTGTCAATAAATACATGCCTGTTTGGGGATGCCCCCTCAGCATTCTTTCTGACAATGGATTGCAGTTTTGCTCCAAACTGTCGGTTGCCATCCTAAAATTGCTACGCGTCCGAAAAATTACGACGAGCGCGTACCACCCTAGCGGCAACGGAGGAGTTGAGCGCGTGAACCACACCATGGCCCAGATGCTGGCGATGGTTGTGAACGAACGACAAGATGATTGGGACATTCATCTCCCTCATGTTGAATTCGCGTACAACAACTCCGTTAGCGCTGCAACAGGATTGGCGCCCAATGAGGTGCATATGGCGCGCCTTCCCAGGTTTCCACTGACCGTTTTTGACAACATTTACGCTCGTGGTCACCAGTCGCTTGCCCGCGATCAGCTCGAGTATTGCAACCTTGCCGCCGATCGGCAACGGCGCTCCTACGAGCTAGTGCGTGAACAACACGAACTCACAGTTTCCCGTATGGAAAGACGGAACTCGAAACTGTCTGATGCCTTACACAAACTACCCGTTTACGCTACCGGTGGTTGGGTGTGGGTCTACAACCATTTGGCTACCATCCGCCAAGGTACCAAACTCACTTCCAAGGCCCGCGCAGACGCTGACTCCCAGGTACTCAAGAAGAAGCTGTCCTTGAATTGGACAGGTCCTTTTAAAATCCTAGCAGTCGGTCCTTGCAACAAGGCTCCCGATGGCAGCCCGATGGCTGACAAGCTCCTGTTCTTGGATCTTCCCTCCGATATGCCCGGAGTGGATGCCAAGCGCCGAGTTTCTGTCGCTCGTTGCAAACCGTGTGCGAACCCGCACGATAGTGACGACATGCCTCGGTTCTTGCCTGCAGGCCTCACGCAGTATGTTCTCAACAACTTCACGACGAAGTCTCCGCCGTACCATGTTACCGCGGACGATGTTTCGGCGCCTGTCCGTAGGCTCGAGGTTGAGAAAATCACGGGACACCAGTCGGTTCGAGGACGTGGCGGCGTTATCGCAGTCATGTACGAGACCCACTGGAAAGGTCTTCTGCGGCCCTCGTGGGAACGAGAAATGGACCTCCAACACTCCCGAAAACAGATTCTTCTGTATTGGGCTGGTACCCCTGACCAACACCGGCAGACTAACCGTCTGTATCGTCGCATGCGCATTGGCGCAGCGGAACGTGAACTGTCTCGCATCAAAGGCGAGCGGTCCTCGTCGCCCGGGTACGAATATGTTCCCCGCGATGTTTGGGCCCGCCGTTTTCGCAACACCGTGCTGCCTGTTGGCGCACACTTCTGGTACAAGGCTCAAGACGCTCTATGGTGGCTAGGGAAAATCTCCGGACATACTCCGACTACAAACGTCTTCGTCGTTCGCTTCCTGGATGACCCTGGACCTGTCAAGATCACCCTCTCCCCTTCGCGCTACACGACAGCTTTGGGAGCTGTTTGTGGTTCTTGGTGCCTTCAGCTGCACCGAAGTAGTCCCTTCATGCGAGGTATCTTACGCAATGTAGACGAGTCGCGTGGTACGGCTATAGATGCCTGATAGCACTGTGGCGTTGTTTTCCTTGTTTTATGTGTATGTATATGTATGTGTATATGTTTGTGTGTTACATGTTTGTGTTTATGTATGTTTGTCTGTATGTTTCCAGCTCGCCCTCTCGATCTATTTTCGAGACTGGCTATTGCTTCTGTATGTTTCTAGCTCGCCCTCTCGATCTATTTTCGAGACTGGCTATTGCTTCTGTATGTTTCTAGCTCGCCCTCTCGATCTATTTTCGAGACTGGCTATTGCTTCTGTATGTTTCTAGCTCGCCCTCTCGATCGATTTTTGAGACTGGCTATTGCTTCTGTATGTTTCTAGCTCGCCCTCTCGATCGATTTTTGAGACTGGCTATTGCTTCTGCATGTTTCTAGCTCGCCCTCTCGAATATTTCGAGACTGGCTATTGCTTCTACATGTTTCTAGCTCGCCCTCTCGAATATTTCGAGACTGGCTATTGCTCCTTTATGCTTTCCGCTCGCCCTCTCAATCTCTTTGAGACTGGCTCTTGCTTTTGTGTTGCGTACTTTCGCGCCCCGTTTGTCACTTCTCGGTCGGTTGTCGAAAGTTTTCGCTCCCCTTTACCTATTTTTCAATGCGACCTAGGTTCGTCATTAGTTGCGGTGACACCCAAATTTGGTGCATCATTTAACTCCCCACCCTATGGTTTGCTTTGCATATTTTGTGGTCCAACGTTCCGTCAGTGCTTCTATTGCATGCCACGGCCAACGTGTTCCATCTTGGTACTTTCTTTAGCATTTTTCTTCATACAATTGGCCTTGACGTACACGTAGGATTGTTTTCCTCGCCCCACCCCGATCGCAAGCACGTTGTATCGTGACATGCGAACGTTGTTTTTGGCGTTGGTTCCTGTCCTTTTCTTTGGCCGTTGTTTACGTTCCCCGGAAACCCCCTCTTTCCCTGCTTTTCTCGATTTTGGTCGACCCCTAGCGGTTTTCCATGTCGTTTGATCCTTTGCAGGCTCGGTTTTCGTTTCTTATTCTTTATGTTTACATTTCAGCACTCGATCGCATCGTAGCCCCCCTTCCCGTAAGGTTCTGGCTTACTTGATTGCGTATTCGATCGGTTCATTCGTGCGAGATCGTTTGTGATTTTCTCTTCACGATTTCGTTACTTCGTGTTATGGTCTTTTCGGTTCGGATGTTTTGGTTATTTTTCGCACCCATGTGCCTTTTTCCGATTTTATCCACCGACTTTGCCGCCCCGGCTTCTGTGTTTTCTTCTTTCTTGGTTCCGCTTCTTTGGTTTGGTTAACGGAGAGGTGCGGGTGAGGGTTTTGAGTTGTCGTATCTTCGATCCATCCCGCAATCCTCTTGATTGACTAGAGTCCCTCCGAGGTTTGCTTCTGTATCTGCATCTACGTCCACTCAGGGTGGGCTATTGTTATGGTATTTGGAGGTAGACAAGTGATCGTGGTTGATCATGGTTATTTGGCGCCGTCGGATGATAAGACGTGACGTCATGCTAGATCAGGGCTTTATGCCGAGACATGTGCCCTTCTGTTCAGTGTGTGCGTACAGGCGATCTATGATCGCGTGTGCGTGGGATATTGTGAGTTGGCTTGGAAAGCGTTAATCAAGAGAAAGAGAACAACGGAAAGCAACAACAACCTGCTACTGTGGTCGGACAAGAGAGTTCCACACAGCTCAAAGGTGATTGATTCTGAAGGAAGGGGTCAAATACCATTACACTCTCACACTTGCCACTGCTCTGGCAAATTTAATTAATCCATACAATCTCAAGTAATTAAGCAATTTTCGGTTTTTAGGAGACGATAATTTGATACACAAGAAAGACTGCACAGCGGAGACGACGTAGTACGTACGTACGTACGTACGTACTACTTTTACTTGCAGCGAAGCTGAGCTATTAGATAGAAATGTTTTGAGAGAGAGGCCTTTCCCTCCTCCCGTAACACTTTGTTTGGTACAACAGCGGTACATACATCACTCGTTCGTACAGCAGTCTACATACATACATACAACACTTGAACTAACATCTCGAGAACTAACTACAGGCAGGCGCCATCCGCAACTAACTGACCGACAAACCCTCTCCCCAGCTGAATTTTGTTTCTTCTTTCGCTTACAATTATTTTTATATAGATAGAAACAAACGCTCAAAACCGACGTACGTCTGAAAAGAAAGCAGGGATGGATGTAAGTTTCCGCGATTTTTTAAGTTTCCGACCGGAAATTACCGCAAATCAGACTTTCTTTGGAGTTTCCGACCGGTAATTTCCGCTCTTGCCGGGGACACAAACTTCCCATCCCCGGGGTGGTATACAACGTATAATTTGGCATTTTTTCAGGAGGAAGCAGCTCGCTGTGTGCTGTTGCTATGTGCCGTGTATTCGCTGTCACTGCTGGTGGTGCTGCTGCTGCCTGTCATTTCCCCTTCTACTAGTTACTATTCTGCTCTGCTGTACTCTCTCTTCTTCTTGCATGATTCTTTTGTTTTTAGGCTGCGGACCCCCGGAAATATGGAAAAGTTTCCGCGATTTTTTAAGTTTCCGACCGCTCAACTTATAAGACGGTCGTTTGGATCTGGATTATTTTTTCGGTGCGAGAAAAAAAATATCTCTGAAATAATCACAACGTAAGACTCAGCCTTAGTTGCCGGAAATTTCCGGTACCGGGAAACTTACATCCCTGCTGAAAAGTTGAACAAAACACATTGGTTCGGGAACGAACCCCTTCATTTTTTTTTCGCCGCATTTTCCCGAACTTTTTTTGAACTGTTCACTGCTGTTCACCTCGGCAATCGCTCCCGCTTGGCCGATTTTGGGGGGGTAGAGCCACTCAGAAAGTTGCTCAGACCAAAACTCAGGTAGGCAGAGCCTCTATCATGAGCTCAGCCCAAGCTGGGCCAGCGGCAGCTGGACTAGCGGCGGCTGTGACCAAACCAGGGGGATGTGAACGTACAGTCCTTCTTGGAAAAGACAACAAGCAGTTGGAGGCTTGTCTCCAAACGCGGGATGCTGGTGACCGCGACACTCGTTGACGCGAAGCACAAGAAGAGGAGCTCACAAACCTACAGTGGCTACGCGAAGAACACCGAAGAGGCGGTCAGCGAAAAGGCCAAGGAGCTGACTGACAAGGTCCTCAAGAACAAGCGCGAGCAGTGGCAAAAGGCGCAGCAGCGGTCTGGTGGTGGCAGCAGCAGCGGAGGCGTGAGGAGGACAGCAGATAGCGCCGTCGCCGACCCTGTTATCATGGCTTTGCGGAGTGGCGGGAGAACCCGATCCAGGGTGGTGACAATTCAGCCAGCTGAGCCGGTGAGATGCTAATGTCGCTAGAGGTTTCAGTCAATCAATAGCACAGCAGATAAGTTTGTCGAGGTCCACTTACAATGCACTCACCAATCAACACTTTCGCCGAGACACGAATAATTGCGCCGAGTTTTAATTCCACCGAGAGGATCGAGTTGCATGAAACGTCGCGTAGTTGTACAGCGAGAGCTCGTCTGTGTCAGCTCCCACGGAAACTAAGCGCCCAATTTTGTGTGTGCAAATGGTCTCCCCATCAGTCGTGCCTTGCGCTTGTGTATTATTGCGTTGCGCAACGTCGTACCCCCCGCCTCCTCGTTCGTCATGTGTGCACACAGACGGCGCCCGTCGACTGGCGCCAGCAGTCTACGGAAACGTTTCTCGCGTCCATGGACAGCATGGGGTATGACAACGCGCTGAAACACTTGGAAGAAATCGGCTCGACGTTTGCGAAGGACACCCGTAAACGCTTGCGAGAGTTGGAAGACAAGGTCAGCACAAGTAAGACAGACACCAGGATGTATGTAGTCTTTCTGTGAGATTTCCCTTCTAAAAATAACATCGTCGCCACACAGCGGCATCATGTAGACCACACTACGACTATTACAAACATTTCGTACCTTTTTGTACGTACCCTTGGGATGATTTCGAGCGGGTACGTAATGCTTGTACGGTTCCTACATACAGCAGTGTTCAACGTAACATCAATCAAGCACTCGCGTCATTCAACACCGTCGTTTACTTGCCTACATTGCTCCCCTCGTATCCCCTTTGTGTTGATTGTTTGGACGTTTTCTGATACATTCGCAGGCTGGCTGTGAAAGAAAAGGAAAGCGCTTTTGAGCACATGGCAGAAAGATCGATGAAACGGACCGGGGAGGGGTGCACCCCGAGTTAGTCTAAGGATGCTGCACGGAGACCGGTTCGTACATCGGCGTTGTGTTGAAAAACCAACATAACGATCATCCCGCGGCGGTCCAGCAACAACAGCGATCCATGAACATTGAAGAGAGGAAAACAAAGGAAGTCATTAGTTTGCCAACAACGAATCGTGGCCTCCATGACAAATCTTCCTGGTTTACGCAATCGGCAAGGCGCAATCGGCGCGGTCCAGAATGAAACAACGACATTTTGCCTTGCACATACTGCTGTAGAGCACAGCAGTGATGGCCTGCTCCATTTGATCGAACATAGACTGTAGAGGGCTGGCAAACAAAACAAAGAGCTCCGAGATCGACTCTGCTGCCACTCCACACTACCCGCCCACCATCAACGCCGCCGTCGCTTCCCTCTCTCAACGACCACCATACGATTGATGGTTGCCCGAGGCTCGAGCCAAGAAAAGCGGCGGCATTTGCATTCTAGCAACAACACCGCATTTTCGCCTCAACCCGTTGGCAAAACACATTCCAGGAGCCCGAGTCGCAACCTCTACTCTGTACGTTCCAATGCTGTAGCCGTCAACTCCCGTTCATGACCAATCAACGGAAATAGCATAGCAGTCGGAATGGAAAACCCATGCACTACAAGCTGTAGTACCCCATTCAGCTCTGAAGCGTTTGCATGCAGAAGCCGAAATCGCAATCTCCGTTCTACTCCCGAGCGGCTGAAACATCAGTAGGACATCCGAACCGCACATACGTCCACACCCCTAAACCTTCGGTTCACTCGCGACAGTGGCGGGCTGATGCTTCGTAAGACCCGAGGTGGTGTCATATTTGCTCACTCCGTATCTCGAGCTGGTTATTCCTCTCTCTCTCCAACACAGCCCCAGGGCAAAGCTCCACAGCAGTTTGTGATCCTCAACGCACTACACTCGCAACAGCTACTTGTCGCTTTCTTTCAGCCGAAAGACCACCTTGGCTGAACAATCTGACCGTCGGAACACAATCTTTGTCTTGGTGTGGTCCACTTCGTCTGGAAGGGCGGCCTGTTTTGACGTTTCGACAAACAATGAATATAAAATCAAGCGGAGAGGCTCCAGGACACGATGCGGTATCGTCCAGTACAGGAAAGAAACAATACTACAATACCTCTCTGAACACACGCTATCGGTTGGTGCTATGCGAGGCTATTGCGTCAGACCGACAGTACACATCCTGTAAGATGTGGTTCCAGTTTCAACGCGGAAGAAAGACAGTCTGCCGGTCCGGGGGAAACAACAACTTTGTACAGCAAACATTGCTTCCAATAGAGTGGCTCCAACTCCGATCGAAACGTTGTTTACAAAATAATCCAAAAAGGCACACGACATGTCGCAAGGGACTGGAAACATAACCGAAATTAGCATCAGCTACACCGTAGATAGCCTTGACATGCTGCCGTTGTATTTGCATGCACGCCAAACTTACCTCGAACACCACGTCGCAGAATTTCTGGCAGTCGTAGTAGAACAGAACGACGCTACGTCTCCTCGCGCCCAAGCGTGCCTGCGCCGGCTCCGTCATGAACACGTCCTGCAGATGGGAAGGGGTGGCACGGCCGGCCGAATGAGCCATCGCAAGCATCCTCGGGCCGTAGCCATGGCGCGACGAGGGCGTGCAGAGCTTCGGGGTACCACGGCACTAGCCTAAGCAAAACGACGTAATTCATCAGTCCCGTGTCATACATTGAAAGATTCAGACAAACTGACAGCGATTCGCATGCAGGCATACATGCATACAGGTTCCGCGTGTCGCGAGCTCAAGCCGTCTGAGACGGCGGAAAACGGTCATCACTGGTTGGATCAGTTTGGCGTATGAACCCACGGTTGTGTGAAAAAGAGGGAATCGTCCTCGACAGACGTTGAGGAGAGTGTACCTTTGTGAAGGTGGTCTCCACAAGTTGCCGACGTTGAGGAGCAAGCAAAACAACAACACCATCACCAACAACACCACCACCACCAACAACAACAACAATAACACCATCATCAACAACAACACACCTGTAGGGTCATCTCCAGAGTGTCAGATGCTCCGTCCGACATCCTCAAGAATTTGTACTTGAGGTTCACCTTCATCGGCCCCTCCCCCGCTCGTGTCCCTGGTGCCGGCACATGTGTGTCAGTTGCCCCGTCGTCGTCGATGCTTGTGACCTTCTCTGGCGGATAGTTCCCGTACTTCTTGAGCGGAACCAACTCCGAGCCTGCTGTGTCGCGGCATTGGCGGCGAAAGTAGAGTGAAATGGGAAAGGGCTTTTACTAAACTGGGTCGTATGGAAGCAAATACACCCCTGCAAGAGTGCACTGGGGGGGGCTACGGTAGCGTCTGATGATGTCCAAAAACATCCTGGTGTCTCGGTTTGGTACAATATGTAACCTATCTTATCTCTAAAATACGGAACGGCATGTTCGTACCAATGCCCTACCGTAGGAAACGAAACCAAGCTTAGAAGAAGGCTGTGGTATATGAGACGAGAAGAGTCGACTATGGGCCGCGACTGCATGAGCGACGTTGCTTGTCGTACCATGTAACCGACCCGAGATACCCGTTTCGAACGCAACCAATTCTCCACCCACCTTGCTCTCTCGTGTCATTGTGAGACCCTGCCTTCCGCACCGACGCGTGCAAAGGGAAATTGTCCTTCGGGTCGTTGTTCGTCAACGCCTTTCTCAGGATCTCAGTGCGCGGGTCTTTTTAGAAGGGCGGGGGATGGATAGGGCGGCGGCGGGTGACGGGCGGGTGACGGTTGGAGATACTGTCAGACCAATGAAAGCATTGGGAGGACAGGTACAAAACGCACTTCTCTTCAGCACCACATAGAGTAAATATGCTACTACCGTGGTGCTAAGTTGGAGCCGGTTGCGTCCGTGGCCCCATCCGACAGGGCAGCGCAAATCGCCATGAGTCGCATGAAGCGGACTGCGTCCTACTACTTGTAAAGGCCGCTGGTGAGACGAAAATCGGGACTTGGTCGGAACTCGCTTGCGCAGACATGAGGTTCGAGTGACTCCGTTGCTTTGGGGTGTAAAAGGCTTTTGCTTCCAGAAGCAGGATGCTACGCGATTCTTTCGCCGATGCCTGGCCCGAACGCACGTCACGTGACAAGATGGTTTATCTTGTGCAGAGTTTGTACCCCTCATTCGGGGGGGCAGGAGAAGCCTGTAATGCTACAAGTAGTGATACTACAAGTAACGACACCACAAGTATTTACCACGGCTGAACCCGAGCGACTCATACGCGGGCGCACGAGGGGGGTGTTACAAAATAGACATGTTAACCTCAACGCTACGCTGTAACCGCAGGGCGTCAACGAGGACGAGAAAGCAGAAAACGATCCACTACGTGCCTCTTTGCAATCCGAACCGCCATGTAGAGGAGAAACCATAGGAGAGGGTCACCTCTTACCATGCCCAGTCATTCCCCCGTGTTGCGGTGAAATTGTGGCACAAGTGAAGTAGGTGAGAGCGCCCTGCCCAGTTGTCTGCATCACTTCATATGCTTCGCTTGCAGGACCTTTCTCTCTCTCTCTCTCTCTCTCTCTCTCTCTCTCTCTCTCTCTCTTCTTGCTTGACGGGATCCGGAGGGTCACAACCAAGCAAGGCTAGATGTGCAGCGGAGCGCGCAATATCATGCGGATGGACTACCACACAAGCAACACAAAGCTGACGAAAGAAAAAACGCAAAAAGTCAAGTACAAATCAGGAGAGTATAGTCGGTCGGTCGCGGACGAAGCATGGTTCCCGTTCTTTCCTCCCTCTCTCGCTCACCAATATCGGGAAGCACTTGCACGGAGAAATTAAAGCCGGGTCGCTGTCCTCGGACCAAGATACAGTGGCTGTTCGCCTGAACGACCTAACGCGTCAACACACCACAACAGCAACAAACGAGTCGAACATAACACAAATGTTTTCGTGTAGCACGTAGTCGTGTATATCAACCAGTAGCTGTGAGGAGGTGAACGAGCCGGCCAGGAGACAGGTAAACCAGAGAGGCAGAAAAAAAAATGTAACTGCAAACAAGGCAATCGAATCATCGACCGGCTGCATAACCAAGCATCATCAGTCAACCAACCGATTTTGATCGACTACAATAAGTTTAAGAACTCCGGTCGTGCCTGGCGACACGCGTGTATGGTGGTCACTGTACATAATCTTAACCTCATAAAATAACATACCTGGTCCCCCGGGACTGTGCTCTGGAACGGTACCGGTGATAAGGTGATGCGTACCAGCTCGTATGTCCCGACGACGTACTGCAACATCGATCTGGCCGTGGTCGCATCTTGAGTGTCGAACGTCGAGCAAAATATGCGTAGCGGCAGGACGGGGGGGGGGGGGGGGGGGGGGGGGAACCTAAATCGGGGGAGGCCAAATCCTTTAAAATATTACCCCCCCTCCCCACAAAACCGGGAGGGGAACCCCCGGGTTTTCCCTGGGCCCGGGTCCCCCATTCC